ATGCATCGAGGTTCGAAGTTGGAGTCAACTGATCATGACCCCAGCTGAATGAAAGTAAAACACAGATGCTTTGCGATCGAATTTGGGAATGGTACCCGAAAACATCGCTAGAACGTCCGGATTGCTTATTGGCATTCCGAAAAAATTGATGGTGGCATCGAAGCACCTTTTGGAGAATTCTGTCTGCAGAGGTTATACTTCTATACTAAGGCACCACTACGGGAGCTAGAAATCAGCTCTCTAATCAGGACAGGTCGCCCATGACACGCTTAGCGCTGGGCAGATTTCGGTCAAATTTAATTGCGTTTAAGTGTTGGACAAAAGATGGCTAATATTTCGACCAATTCTTTCCTCCAAATTAGGCATTTTTCAGTATTTCAGGTAGAATAGTGTGTGTTGATCTATACTCTACTCTGGCTATTCTGCACCTTGAGCATACAGTTAGTTCGAAGGGAGTTTAAGCCCACGCAGTTTGGCCAGGTGCATTCCTAAATCGCCCAATCATACCATGCCACATGGCATGAGGTATGCCGCAAGTTATCAGCAGCCTTGAGAATCTAGTGAGGCGTCAGACCAATCAAATAATAGACCACGGGCCGCACAGTTAGTTGAGCATAATCTAAACAGACGGTTTTGCAACCAACACAGTATAAAGAGCATCAAAATGAAAGCTCAGATCTGCCTCCTTCTTCTAACGACCATCGTCTTGAATACCTGCATGAATGCTAATGCGGACACCACTGAGAGTCCTACCGCCAAAACCGAGGAACCGCTGAAAGACTTCACCGAGTGGAATAAAGATGACGCCACCGCCTCGGATGAGGAGCTGTACGGCGCGGTTTGGGGACAGAAGGGCTACAAGGCATCAGAAATAGTGCTTTTATAACTTCTAATCATCAATAAAACTTCTTACAATCCTTCCATCTTGTTTTGGTATTATTTGATAGCATAGGCTGGTGCGAGAATTAGCATTCGACTGCTTCGGCCTTTGCCGAGACGAGAACGATGACAGAACACACGTGGCTGACGAACTTAGGACAAACAGCCAAAGATACAGGGTTCAGATGCCTTCGTCGTGTATTCATCATCCGCATAGAAACTACTGCTGATTGTCGCCACATTTTCCGTTCTGGATATTCCACCCCCTCTCCAACACCCACCGTTGTCGGTGAAATACCTGCACGATATGTTTTACGCTAAGCAGTTGAGGAGCAGAGGCTGGAAGCAAGTCACGAAGACGAAAGCTTGACCAATGCTCAAACTGTAGGTGATATTTATTCCTCCCAAGCTAGCCGACAGTTCAGGGTGTTTACGTCGACAGCTGAAGGTGCGAAAAACAGGCAATAGCAGTACAACGTGGTCACTTTTACCTAGCGGAGGGAGACATGACATGGCATGACAGACATGATAGAGTCATGCTCAGAAGGCAGCTGTCGAAGGTTAGATCGGAGCTATGTGCGCAGGCCGCACCCCAGTCGATGTGAGGCACGTTAAAGTCCACCACAATCAGGATATCCGATCCCGACAATCAGGATATCCGACCGTGCAGTAAACTTTTCAAGCTCCTCTACCAAGGAGGCATCCACTACGGGATCTCTTCTCGGTGGTCGGTAGAGTGTTAGGACATCGAGGTTGGGTGCACCTGGTACTTTAATGGACAGCCAGATGGCCTCGGAAGTACACGCCTGTTCATCCGTTTTGTCTAAAACTATGAGTCCATTTTTCACGTATGTTGCTACGCCATCGCCTTGACGTCCTTCTGTCTTTTCTGAACAGTTGATAGCCAGGCATGGTTACCTAGCCGTCGTCTACGTGTTCAGACAGCCAAGTTTCGGTTATTGAAACTATTTCTGGTGATAGTTCACAGGCATGTATCTTCAGCTCGTCTAGCTTTGATAGCATACTCTGTGCATTAGTGTACATGAAAATTAACTTTCTATTTGCCCGAGAAGTGGTTACAGTCAGGCTCTTGCCGCCCCTTACCGGGTCGA